CGAGCAGGGAAGGATCGGCGGCCAGCGAGGGGGGGGAATGCGAGGAGGAGAGGGCCTTCTGGCAGAAGGCGGGGCGGGGCTCCCTGGAAGCCCTCGCCCCTCCTCCGAGGAGTGCCCTGCGTCCTCTCAGGGGGCTGAAGGGGGGGCTTCTGGGGAGGCCCGCCCCCTCTCACTCCCTCCCCCCCCCCCGCCCCTCCTCTGAGAAGTGTCCTGCGTCCTCTCAGGGGGCTAAAAGGGGGGGCTTCTGGGGAGGCCCGCCCCATCTCACCTCCCCCCCGCCCCCGCGCTGGCCGCCAAAAAGTGCGGGAGGCTCCCAGAGGTCCGACGCTCCGAGCCAGGTGGGGTCGGCGGGTCGGGGGCTGCCGTTGGCCTCCCGGGGGCCGCGCTGGCAGGCGCCGTTGGGCGCTGCGTAATGGGGGGGTCATAAATGGGGGGGCGGCGAGGGTGGTCCGAAAAGGTACCCACACGGTACCTAAACGAGCCCCCTGGGGCTCCGGAGGGGCCCGAAAGGGGCACGAAAGGGGACCTTTTCTGACCCCCCCATTTGTGACCCCCCCATTAAGCCACGCCCAACGCCGCGGGCCCCGGGGCCGTGGTGCGGAGGGCCATTCGCGGCGGTCGTCGGCGGCCACGGGCTCGAGCAGCGGCAAGCGAGCACTGCGCGAAGCCTTCGTGTTCACCACGTGTTTCTCAGGAGGGGGCGGAAACATACAGACACAATGAATCGTCGACTCCCAGAAAATATGGGAAAACATGGGGAGTGGGGGGGAAGACAAAAACCCAGAACATATGAAACAATATGGGGAATCTTTCTATTTGTGTGTATTTATTTGTGTGTCCCAGGGCCCCTTCAGTTTCTGCTGCCGGGTGCGAGGTCTGGGGGATTCGGTTAGCACATCGCCTGCAGCTGGCGCTCCTTGCTGCCTGCTCGTGAGGCGGCCACCCGGGCGGATCGAGCAAGGAAGCGGACGGGGTGTCGGATGTCCGCGTGGATTTCTTGGATCGGCGCTGGGCCCGAGCAAGAACGAAATGGCGGATCCCAGAGATCGACGCTCCGATCAAAGTGGAGCAACGATTCCGGACGAACAACCCCTGGGGAAGTGGTCCAAACCTTTGGGGTCCACGCATCGAACGAGTCGACTGCGCGTAGGAGTGACCCGTCGCCAGAGTGACCTTTAGTGCGGGCCGGGCCCACTGAGGTCCCCCGATCGCCGAGCGCGATGCGGTGGTAGCGTCTTGCGCTCTTGAGTTTGGTTCTCCCGCGGTCCTTGAAAACCGCGCACACTTGCGTGTAGTCGAACAAGGAAGAATTGTCCGATGTCCGCCCGGATTTCTTGAATCGGCGCTGGGCCCCCCTGGCGGTGCCTCCGGCGCCGCCCCTCGCGCAGTCCGCGCGGACCTTGGAGAGATCTTGTTTATGGCGTTGGTGTGTTCTTCTCTAGAAGGCCGTCGGCTGACTTCGGTGGCTTTCGGATGCCTTGAGCGGCCTTCGGCGGTGCTAGGCGGCGTCCTCAGACCCCGTGGCGTTGTGGTCCATTTCGGCCTCCAGGGGCTCTTTCCTGTTCCGTGCCCTGGGGCCGTCAACAGAAACGATTCGGGATGAGAACGCAGTCTCGGGGGGAGGATACGCATTGGGGAAGACGACGTGGGGGGATCGGGGTCGTCGTGTCACAGACATGTGATGATTGGCTAGCTTTTCGGCTCTTCCGTGTCTTTCCTGCGCCGAGAGGAAGCGAAGGGTGATGTTGCGAAGGAGGAAGAGGGAGGAGAGTGAGGGTGGAGGGTGGAAAAGGAGGACGAAAGGGACGGGGTGGAGACAGGAAACAACAAGTAGCCCGGCGAAGGACCCAACCATATGCAGTTGAACCGTGTGAGGGGTGTGCCGAAATGGATGGCAGGGATGCATGTGGGCACCGCCACTGGAGCCATTCGTGGAGCCCCCTATGGGTCTACGAAGCGTGTCGGGGGTGTGCCAGGTTGGGTTGCGGGGGCGCTTGTGGACTGCGCCACTGCGGCCTTCGGTGGAGTTTCCCATGTGGCCACAAAACGTGTGAGTGGTGTGCCGAACTGGGCGACGGGGACATGTGGGCACTGCCACTGGGGCCTTCGGTGGAGCCCCGGTGGGGCCACGAAATGTATGCGGAGTGTGCCGAAATTGGTGGCGGGCACGCATGTGGGCATCGCCATTGTCATGGGGCCTTCGGTGGAGCTCCTATGGGGCCACGAGACGTGTAAGGGGTGTGCCGAAGTGGGTGGTGGGGACGCATGAGGACTGCGTCATCGGGACCTTCGGTGGAGCTCCCGTGGGGCCACGGAACGTGTGAGGGGTGTGTCAAAAAGAGTGGCGCGGACGCATGCGGGCTGCGCAATTGGGACCTTCGGCGGAGCTCCCTTACGGGGCCACGAAACTTGCGGGGGTGTATCAGCATGGGTGGCGGGGACGCATGCGGGTTTCGCAACGGGGACCTTCGGCGAACCTCTCCTGGGGCCACGAAACATGTGATGGGGTGTGCCGACATGGGTGACGGGGACGCATGCGGGCCGCGCCATTGGGACCTTCGGTGGAGCTCAGATGGGGCCACGAAACGTGTGAGGTGTGTGTGTGTGTGTGTGCCGAAATGGGTGACGGGGACGCGTGCGGGCTGCGCCTTTCGGACCTTAGGTGGGCCTTCCTATGAGGCCACGAAGCGTGTGAGGGGTGTGCCGAAATGAGCGGCGAGGGCGCATGCGGGCTGCACCACTTGGACACGCGGTAGAGCTCCTACGGGGACCATGAAATGTGTGAGGGGTGTGTTGGGATAGGTGGCGGAGACGCATGCGGGCTGCGTAACTGAGACGTTCGGTGTAGCTCTGACGGAGCCTAGAAACGTATGCGGAGTGTGCCGAAAATGGTGGCGGGGACGCATGTGGGCACCGCTACTGCCATGGGGCCTTCGGTGGAGCTCCTATGGGGCCACGAAGCGTATGAGGGGCGCGCCGAAGTGGGTAGCGGGGACGCACGAGGACTGCGCCGTCGGGACCTTCGGTGGAGCTCCCGTGGGGACACGAAACGTGTGCAGGGTGCATCAACATGGGTGGCAGGGACGCACGCGGGCTGAGCAACTGAGACTTTCGGCGGAGTTCCTCTGGTGCCACGAATCGTGTGAAGGGTGTGCCGACATGGGTGGCGGGGACGCATGCGGGCTGCGCCACCAGGGCCTTCGGTGGAGCCCCGATGGGACCACGAAGCGTGTGAGGGGTGTGCCGACATGGGTGGCGGGAACGCATGCGTGTTGCGCCACTGGGACCCTCGTTGGAGCTCCCTATGGGGCCACGAAACGTCTGAGAAGTGTGTCAAAGTGAAGGGGGTGACGGGAGGAGGGAGGGGGAGGGGGTGGAGACAAGCCAGGTGCGTTCGCGTCATATCTGACATCCTACCCCTCCCTCCCATCCCTTACCATGGCGTAGATCCCCTCTCTACTCGCACAGTCGGATGTCGAGCAGGGCAATGATCCCGAAAGGTTACGCGATGCATTGTAGAGCACTGCGTTGCATGGCGTAGAAGAGCACCGCAAAGCGTAGTATGTCACAGCATGGCGTGGCGTGGCGTAGTGAGGAATTGTATCACAAAGCTTTGCAACGCACAGCATGGCATCGCACAGCGGCCCCGAACGTAACATTGCATAGCATGGCGTTGAAGATCAAAGCGTAGCATGGCATAGCACGACGTGGCACTTAAGCACTGCATATCACAGCTTCAGCTGAAGGCATGGCATCGCGCAGCGGAACGCAACCTAGAGTGGCATTGCATGCCGTGGCATGGCACGGGAAATGACGCCAGCGCTGCAGCGGGAGCACGATTCGGAACGAGCGGGAGCGCGGAAATGAGGCCAGCGCTGCAGCGGGAGCACGATTCGGAACGAGCGGAAGCACGGAAATGAGGCCAGCGCTGCAGCGGGAGCACGATTCGGAACGAGCGGGGCCCGGAAATGAGGCCGGCGCCTCAGCGAGAGCAGCATTTTGACACAAAACATGCAGGCGAACACCCAACTCCGGGGAATCCTGTGTGTTAAAAAACAGTACGCGGGGGGGAGGGGGGGGCGAACACTCCCAACCCGTCATCAGGGGAAGGAGGAGAGTAGTATTCATATTGAGTAATTGTAGAGGAGAGGGACGCGGAGCGCGGTCTTTTTAAAACGAGGACCCAACACCACAGGATGATTGGGGAAATAATGGACTGGGGAGGACGGGGATGAAGGAGAGGACGGCGAGGGCGAGGAGGAGCGGCGGGGGAGGAGGGAACGGAGCGACGGCGACGACTTCGAGGAGGAGGAAAGGCAGATGACGAGGGGAGGAGCCAATGCTGTAGCCAACGACAGCTCCACAAGTCCCAACAAAAGCGACACGACCACTACCAGTACCAACCAGCCCATGGAGACTAGCCGACCACCCACCACAAGCGCCAACTGGCACCACACACTTAGCTACTGCATCGCAGGATGACGACAGTCAGCGCGATTCCTAGAGCGATCGCTGTAGCGACAAGGGCGACTACAGATACGTTCCCAAGCCCTTCACATTGGAATGACTACCTCCTGACTGAGGTCACTACATGCATTTGCCCAACAGGCTGGAAGGCGTAATGATCGACGGAAGAGCATATGGACGATGACAGCTAGCACTACGCAGTCTACCACAACGATGAGGACAATGTCTATACATATAGCTGTCCACACGATCATTTGCTGATGGGCACGTGGCACAGGTACTTCGACAAGCTCAATCGCGAAAACTTCATCAGCACCTCCTACTCGTACGTATTTCCGCACCTACCGCTTGAGCCAGATATGGCCACGACACCAATGTCGCGCTACCAACTCCCACCCACAGAGCCAACCACACACTTGGTGCTCAAGGAAGCCATTCACGCTGACACGTACTTGCCGCCACCACTCCAGACTCAGGAAAGCACTACACCAACCAATTGGTACAACATTGGTCGAGATGGCTCATTCTTACTGGCAAGGCGAGGACTCAAGACCAAGCAATACTGTAGGTACAGTCCCGCAGTGGCTCTACTCCTGCCAGACGGGCCACTGGGCGGTCAGCCTACATGAGACAGCGCGACTGATACGACCCACATTTGGCTACCACGACATACCTTTCGGAATTGCGAACGCACTTGCACCGACTTCGTCACAATACAGCAGTATCCTCTCCTACACCACACCACCACCACCACTACAAGATACGCAAGCCGACCAACCAGCTGACATACCCACGACCAACCAGCACCAAGACAGCACACCGACTCCAATACCACAGACTACAACAGGCAACCGGACCATCCACAGCCCGATGCACCCACCGCCACCGCACCTCAAGATCCCAGTGATGTGCCCACCACCCAAAGCAGCCTCTGCGCACAGGCGGCTTATGGACAGCCCACCAGAGAGATGCGCACCACTGACACAGGCGACCTCATGTGCATACTTCCGCCCAAAACCTCCACCGGCCAGACTCGACGGTCAAACTTGCCCCCCACACCAGTGCCAGAGCTTACTGGACGGTACGGCACACAGTACGTGAGCGACGCCAGCGACCCGCGTTTTCTTCACTATCTGGATACGACTTCTGACTTCCAACAGCAAGACCAACAATACCTAGGAAAAGCTACCTCACACAATTTACGTCACCAGGAGAGGCAACAGCGCGACGAGATCAGCATGGCGCTCCACCGATGCCCAACAGCAGAGTACACAGCACCACCAACGCCGAGGCCGAGGTTTCCCACGCAAGCACCTCTTGTACATCGATTCCTACTTTGACATCAATTACTGACCTGCCTCTCCTCCCTCAACTCACAAGTGTTGCATTCAGTATACCGATTGAATCCTGAGTACACTCAAGCCCTGTTCTCTCCCACCATGTTTGTCTATGCCAGTGGTATCTCACTGCTGTTGCCTTTCACCATTCTCAGGACCAAGGGGTTTGTGCTTACCCCGTCAGAAACTCACAACCAACACGAAGGACCTGGCACCGAGGAGGTGAGGGGTGAACCGATAAGACCATGGCTCGCAGATCTAGAGTTGCACAAGTTACTTAATTAAACTCTGATTTTCCATAGTACCCTGGCCAGCCAACACAACTTATACCCGTCTCAGCGAACGTTCCTTGCATGACTTTGAACACGACATCTCACCCAACGGATCGGATTTGAGTTCTGTGTGGGATGTTTGGGGCGGTGGAGTTCGAAGTTGCACCACAGATCAGCCAGCCCGACCAGTGTCTGCCTGCCTCAGATGCCGCTCTGCTTTCTCTCGCTCTCTCTCTCTCTCTCTCTTTCTCGTTCTCTTTCTCTCTATCTTATTCTACAGTTCGCCCTCACATCTCTTTTCAGCTGCTGCAAGACCGTCGCAGGCGTCTCGGCCAGTCTTGGCAGCAGCCGTTCACCTTGCGAGGCAGATTACTCCAGGCTGAAGGCCAGTCAGCACCAATAGTGCCAACCTCATACTCAGCGAAACACCACCTAGAACAGAGTAGGACATAACATATCCATTCCTCACTTTGCCGTATCAGCTGGTCCATGTTACCAGGCACACTCTGACTTTGCTAACTCTGCTTTCGAGTCCGGCCTCGCGACCTGAGGGAGAGGGTCGGCGGGTCGGGATGATCGGAGGCGGGGGAGGAGGAGGAGGAGGAGGAGGAGGAGGAGGAGGAGGAGGAGGAGGAGGAGGAGGAAGAGGAGGAGGAGGAGGAGGAGGAGAGGGGGTATTCTGACCATTCGCTTTTGCGTGTCCTTGCAATTGCTGCCAGTACCATTGCAGGCGCCTCGCCAAGTCTTAGCAGCATCTGTTGACTTTGCGAGCCAGGTTAGTCCAGGCTAAAGGCCAGCCGACCAGCCAGCACCAACTGTGCCAGCCACATACACAGCCACATTCAAGCAGTGGCGACGCGTCCTGGCGTGCCTATAGTCCTACCAAACAATGTTCTAAGAACCTTTTGCGGTTCCCACGAAATGTTCTGAGAACATTCCTGGGTGGGGCTGTTTTGGTTTAACAAATCGGGTTCATGTTCTAAGAACACTGTTTTTGTTCAGAGAACATTTTTGGGTTCTAAGAAAATTTCGTGGTAGGACTATAGGAATGCCAGGACGGCCGGTCTCTGCTCAACACATGCTTCCAAGAAGGCAGAAGGATTCGGCACACTTTACGTCTTACCCTGCCTCATGCCTTACGCCAGCCAGTACAATTTACCAGACAAAATGTGGCTTTGCCGATCTTGCTTTCGAGCCATGCCTCGCTACCTGAAGGGGAGGGTCGGCGAGTTTTTGGGGGGGAGTACGTATGTGTTTGGAGGGGGACGGAGGAGGCTACTCTGCCTCATCTTCCACGTCTGCCAACGCACTTTACTACTGGGTATTCTCTGACAGTGCCGACTCTGTTTTGGAGTCAAGATGCGCCACTTGAGGGGGCGGGGGATGATCGGTGGAGGGATGAGGAGGCCTTGCTGATATTACCATGCCCGCTTCGCACTGCCGATGGCAGACCAGCCTGTTCCGGTACAGAAAGCAACAAGAGTAGGCCAGCCATATGCGTGCCAACATCAGCAAGTTTTAGTAACCCGCCTCGGCCGTACTGGCTCGGCAGTTCCGCAATATTGCATTCTTGAGCAGATATGGCAGATGACATCACAGGCCAGCTCGACCTATGTGCAAGCCTCAGCAAGCTAGGTTTCCAATGTTCAGCCCAGCCGCCCACATATCTTTTAACCAGCAAGAAGCCAGCCAGTACCGACTTGGCCAGTCTTCGCCATGGCAGCTACAGCCGAGCATTTTCCTTCTCAACTATTCTACAGTCGTCGCCAGCACTTGCGTCAGTTATTTTTAGCATCACAGGCCAGCCACTGATGGTCCAGAGCCTCAGCAGCTTTCAATTTGAAAATTGCGAACCCAGCCGCGCACATACCTTTCACTGAACATGAGGCTAGGCAGTACTGACCTGGCTAGCCTGCCCAACCAGGGCAGCTACAACCAGCAGCTCTCCTCCTCCACTAATCTTCAGTTGCCGCTAGCGCTCCCGGTACTGATTCTGACTATGCAGAAGGGTCGGGCTCGGGGTGGGTTGGGACTTTGGTGTGGTGCCATCAGTTATGTATTGTGGGGAGGGAGGGGGGGCACTTTTAACATCTATGGCCATGTTGGCCTTCGGCAGGGGGCGACTGCCCTACTGTGGACCGCCGAATGACAGATGCTTTCCATCACCTCACAATTCAGTTACCTACAAGCTGCACCAACTCTGTCCTTGGCACGGCGTCTAGTGCTTGCTTTTTCTTTGCCTGCACCCAGCTGCACCCGTTCAGCTTCAGAGTATACATCGTCCTACTGTGAGAGTATGTGACCTGACACACGGTATTAGGTTTACAGCTGCCTAGCATCTCCCTGTGGCGTGGGCTCATGGGAGCCCACGCAGGACACTATGCAGACCAACAATACTTTTCACATGTTCTTGCATGCGTATTTCGATTCCTCTTAGGCCGCTCCTTCTTGTATGGCTGAGGAGGAGACGTGTGTCGATGGAGGATGGCTCTACCTCACCTCTTGTACTGTATAGCGAGCGCATGCTCTGCCCCGTCGGGCCTACCTCTTTTACGTGTCGCTGGTGCCTTTCTTGATCCCGCTGCGCCCTCCCTGCGTGGTTCGTTCCGCACTTGGCCTAGGCCGGCCTCGCCGTATGGTTGCTGCCAGGACGAACGGCGTGTTGGCTAACGGCGATGTAGGACAACTAATTGTAGGAAAGCACGGTACGTGGCCGCACCAATTGTAGGAACGCGTGGCTCGTGCTTGCCTACAGCTCGCTGTGTCGTTTTCGCTCGATACGTTCGCACCTTCGAAATGTCCGAAGCGGTGTTTCGTGAGTTCCTGCCATTTGCTCTGCGCGAGCTCGGCGTCACACAAGTCGGATTCCCAACATCGCCGTTGACCAACATCGCCGTCAGCGCGGCCTTGGCTCGCAGGCGATGTTTCTATCCCAACCCCCGACTGTTCGACGAAAAATGGAGCGGCTAAGAAATGGAGGGACACCTTGGGATACACCCCCAGAGGGGCTATTCGGACGCACCCCTACCGAGGATGGACGCCCCCCCTCGTGTATCCCAGGATTGGGCCGCCAGTTTTTGGTCCACTCGAAAACCCCACGAAGCCTAGGACAGGGGTCGACACATCCCCTGTTATTGGCCCTCCTTCCCCCTTTCGCAAGTGGTCCGAGTGTTGGCGTGGGCTCGGCGGCTCTGCGGGCAGAGTGCGGGCTGCGCGGCCGCGCGCGCGGGCCGTCGGAGTCCATGGAACGTCCGACGGCGATGCGTGAGTGAGTAAGCAAGTAAGCGACTGAGCAAATGAGTATGCACGTGCGTAATTAGGCAAGTAAGTAAGTGAGTGAGTGAGTAAGTAAGTCAGTAAGTAAGTAAGTGAGGAGGAGGACGATAGGAGGAGGAGGAGGAGGAGGAGGAGGAGGAGGAGGAGGAGGGGGAGGAGGAGGAGGGGGAGGAGGAGTTGGCGCGACTAGGGCTGGTGTCTGACTCGGCTTGTCTGTACTGGGACCGTGTCTGGCCTTGGATGTAGGACGGGCCACCTCAGTCGCCGTGGCTGCTGCTGCATCGGTTTTTTATCTTGACATACGCCGGTTTGGATGTTTCAATGCGCGGCTTCAGAGGTCCCGACCCTTCCCCCTGTTTCAGTTTTTTCGCCCCAGATCCTATTTCATTGATCCTGGGTCCCGGTGGCGTGCCGTGGAGGCCGAAACCAAGGAAAATCGCCCGGATTGAACAAATCATCTCGTCAACAATTTGGGCTACCCGCCCCATCCACCTCTCGTCTCGGATGTTTGACGATGGTGCATCGTTTCGGACGGGGCCAGGACGAGGATAAGTCCGTTCCAGAGCGTTCTAGAACGCCCTCAGAGCCCTCTGGAACGCTCTGAGAAGGCCGCGGCGCCCGACACATACTCCAGCGCCGCCATGTCTGAGAGATTCTCGATTGATCCTCGCTCGAATGAACCCTTCTCCTCGCTTTGGGTGCTTGACGATGTTGCATCGGGTGTTTCACGATGGTGCATCGTTTGCGATGGTGGTGGCCTCTGCCTTGGCCGACCCGCAGTGGTGCCCGAAGCTGTTCCAGCCATCGTCATCGGGCGCCAGGAGCATACGACTCGATTCCCCTGGGGCCTGGATCCCCAAGAACAACTTGACCTCCGAGGAGGCTGCGTGAAGGTGGCCAGTTGACCCAGACATCTGGCGTCTCCAAAACATTCGCGACGGAGGTGTGTCATAGTTGTCAGCCTCTCGGGGCCCCTACATGGCCTCGGGACTGTCAAACAACGGTCGGGGTGAAAGCCCAGGAGCGGAGGAGGAGGAGGAGAAGGAGGAGGATGAGGAGGAGGAGAAGGAGGGGGCGGAGTAGGAGGAGGAGGAGGAGGAGGAAGAGGAGGAGGAGGAGGAGGAGGAGGATAAGGAGGAGGAGGAGGAAGAGAAGCAGGAGGAGGAGGAGGAGGAGGAGGAGGAGAGGAGAGGAGGGGGGGGAGTAGGAGGAGGAGGAGGAGGAGGAGGGGGGAGGGGGAGGAGGAGGGGGGCCCGTGTCTCGAAAGAAAGTCGAGACGCCGGATGGCTGGGAAGACCGCCGCGCTGGGAGCACGCGTGCACGATGTGGGAGCTCATTGAGCCCAGGTGGCTCTTCTTTGCCCTCCTACTACCCCTGCTCTCGTCCCTCTCCTCATCTCGAAAAAAACAAAAGCACAGAAACGTAAACTTTTGGGCGCTCCGCCCGGATTTCTTGCATCCGCGCCTGGGCCCACCGGCGGCGCCTCCGGCGCCGCCCATGGCGCGCTCTTTGTCCCCGTTCCCCTTCCTCACCCATCCTCGTCTCCACCCTGTCCGTCTGTTTCCCCTCGTTCACCTTCTCTTCCTCCTCCTCCTCCTCCTCCTCCTCCTCCTCCTCCTCCTCCTAGTCGTCCTGGTCGTCGTCCTTCTACCCGAGAGAGGAGAAGTACCGATCGCGAGCGGATCCCGCCAGCGAGCCCCCCGCCGCCAGCGTCGGACACCGCACAGTGCGTGAAGTTCTTTAGCGAGACAGACTTCAAGTTGGCCGCAAGCCCAGCCCCAGCACCCGAGCAACGTGACAACAGCGGAGTCGTCTTCACCGACATTGGCGCGTAAGCTGCCAGCGTAAGGTCGCGCGCAAAAGCCCTCGTTTCCAGTGCGGCGTGCCGTGCTGGCGGCACGCGCAAGCCACTGCGTAAGGTCGCGCGCTGTCATCTCTCGCGTAAGACCCGCTTCTTTTTTTCGTTGCGCACCTGGGCCAGATGGGGTCCGAGCAGTTGGGGTCGGGGGATCGCGCCGCATCGCCCGTGCATCGGCGATGCGGCTCGATGTGGAGCCCGATTTTCTCCACCGTGGCGTCGCCGATGCATCGCCGATGTCACCCATTCATCGGCGATGCGGCGCGATCCTCCGATCCCATCTACTCCGACCCCATCTGGGAAGCCTCTGAGCACGAGGGATGGTGGGGAGCGAGGGCGGGGCGGCGCAGACAGCCGACGCCGGCCGCGTTTTTTGTTTAACCACAGCGCGGCTCTCCTCGAGGACCGGGACCGGTTTTTGTTCCTCCCGAGGTCGTTCTATGTGGACGGCCCCCGGGAGGGCCCCCTTGGGGGGGCCTCTTGGGGGCCTCCTTGGGGGCCTCCTGGGGGCCTCTTGGGGCCTCCTGGGGGCCTCTTGGGGCGGGCCTCCTGGGGTGGTGGTCCCTCTGGGCCAAAGGCTCGAATTTCGAAATGTCGGCCCTCAAGACGGGCCCCTCTGGGAGCCGTCTTTGGGGCCTCTGGGGCCCCTGGGCCCTCAGGGGCCGAAACTCGCCCAACGACCTCCCGCCGTGATCTGTTGTCACTGCGCGACTGCGGCAAGGGAGGGGCGGGAAGACGCAGAGAGGTGTGGGGGGGGCAGCCACGGGCAGAGGGGGGTATGGGGGAGGGGAGCGGGTTTCGCCTGTGGCGCTATCTCACATTTCAGCACGAGGCGTCCTGTACACCAAGGGCTGCTCCATTCATCAATGGCGCTTCGGCCCCGGTGGTACCGTAGGCACAAGAAGCAATCCATGTCAGGAAGGCTCGCGCGCGTGTTAAGGGTGGTGGGGGGGCCTAAAGTATGGGTGAAGAAAGAGGCCCTAAAGGAGCCCTTCAGGGCTCCCCTAGGAGCCAATTAGGGATCCAAAAGAGGCCTCAAAGGGCCCCCTTCGGTCTGGTCTCCTTTTCCTGGCAGGCATGTGCGGCCACGATCACTGGAGTGCAGCGCCAATAGCTACTTGGCGCACCTCACCACACATTGCAGAAATGGTATTAACAACTTGTGCACCTTGTGGTAAGGTGGGCCTGGGGGCCTCTGAGCGCCACCCTCCGTTAGGTCACCCCCCTTGACACCCCCCTTTAGATCACCCCCTTTACGAGTCAAGCAGCGAGCCGAGCGCTTTGCCCGCGTAAGCCAGCGCGTAAGGTCGCTACGCCATCTCGCGTAAGACCCGGTTTTGATCGTCGCTCAGGCGATGCAGATCCAAGCTTCTTGCCTCGTGCACGTGTCTGGGCGTCGCCACAGGTGGGGCCGTGCTTGTCCGTGCTTGCCACCCCCCTTTCGGTCACCCCCTTGACACCCACCGGGAGGCGCTGGCTAGTCTAGCCTTGTCCCCTCCGAGCCGCGTCGAGCGGTCACGAGGTCGCCCTGCGGAGAGAACGCCAGAAACCAGGACGACGACGACGACGACGACGACGACGACGACGACGACGACGACGACGACGACGACGGACGACGACGACGACGACGACGACGACGACGACGACGACGGACGACGACGAAGACGACGACGGACGACAACGACGACGACGGACGACGACGGACGACGACGGACGACGACGACGACGGACGACGACGACGGACGACGACGACGACGACGACGACGACGACGGACGACGACGACGACGGACGACGACGACGACGACGACGACGTCGAGTAGTGGCTAAGCGTCTTGGTTTGCCGACAGGCCCACGCAATGATGTTCTAACAATAAATTATGGTTTGCAGAACATTTCTGGCTGCGACCCCCTCCGGTTAATACATCAGCTTCATGTTCTAATAATTTTGTTCTTGTTCTTAGACCATTTTGTTCTTCAAACATGTCGTGGTAGGCTTATCGGAATTTCGGGACGGTCGGTCCCTGCTCAAAAGGGTCGGAGGAGGAAAAGGTACCCATTTTGCTACTCTTGCCTCGTTTTCCCTTTTGGGTCCTCCGGGGAGGCCCTCGTCGCCACCGCTGGATTCGCCCCGAAATCCTGGTCAGAACGCACCCCGGGAAAGGTCCGGTGCGTAACGGTAGAGGTAACCATCAGGGGCAACGAAAGGGAGGGATAGGCATATGGGCGGATGCATCGACCCCCAATCGCCAATTGATCGCCGATAAGAGCCTGATAACCCCAACCTGCCCAGGACGGTGCGGATTCACTATCGGATGCATATCGCCGATCTATCGGCAATGTATCGCCGATTCCTCCCCTATGCCAGTCTCCCCTTCTCGTAACCCCTCAAACCATTCTGGTTTCCCACACGAGGGCATTTCTTTTTTCCCGCGGCACATTGGGCGGTGCATCGCAGCTCCTCCAGCTACTCTAGGGCGGCTTCTTCGCGCGGCCCACTGGGCGGTGTACCACCAAAGCTCCTCCAGCTGCATCGCTGCGCCGTCGCGGCTTCCCCTTCCGCCTCCTCCTCTTCTTCATTCGAGTGTATGCGAGATGTTTTGTTCTTCGGATTCGGCGCTCGGGACGAGACTGAGATGCGCTTGCTAAAACAAAAAGGTCACTGGGGGCAACTACCACGTCATCAGCTGGGACTTCGACTTGGAGAACAAGAAGCTGAGGCACGGCCCACCTGCAGCGGACACACCTCGGGAGGGGAAGGCACGCGGGCACAAGTGATCGTCGATTCCCCGGACAAGACGGGAAACATGGGACGTGGGGGGGAAGACGAATCTCCAGGACATGTGGGAAACATTGTGAATCTTGGGAGTTGTACAGGTTCATCAGTGTGTCCCTAGGCCCCTTCAACGTTAGAAGGTGCATTTGTCCTGGTCGCGGGGGGCGAGGCGCATGGAACGACGGCGGGGCAGAGTGGCATCCTCCTCGCCTGACGTCGCAGCGCTCGGCGTCCAGGCGATTCCATTGATTCTCGTCGCCGTCGTTCGTCGTGCTCGTTCGTCGTCGTCTTTGTCGTACTCGTTGTCTCGTCGTCGTCCTCCTCGTCGTCATCGTCGTTGTCGTCGTGGTCGTGTTCGTGGTCGTGGCCGTCGCCGATGGCGCGCATACACACTTTCAAGGGCGCCGCCGCCCCAACCGCCGCCGCCGCCTTCGCTGCGTACTGGTAACCCCCCTCCCTTGCCCCCTTCTCACCGACCCCGGGATACCAGTAATAGACCCTGACCTAAGGAAGAAGAAACGCTTCCGAGAGCCTCAAGCAGCCTCAGAAACCTCCGAGGCGCTGCAAGACGACCCGACGAGCACCCCCAATAAGCTACACAATTGTAGAATTACTTATTTCCAATGGCTCTATTTGCAGTTATCGCGCAACTTCTAGACAGTCGGATATTCGATCTCCTGGCGTCCGAGATCGCCGAATAGGCCACCAACATGCCTCAGCCGAGCCACACGGGCCTGAAGGCAGCCCAAGAGAGTTCCAGCCCAACAGGGCCCCACTACAACCCCAGGAGAGCCTCAGCACGGCCGAACCTTGCCCCTCTATGCCCTTCAAACCACTCCGAGTCGTGACCGGGCCGTCGATGGAAGCCGCGGTTGGCAGCAAAATGGGCCCAACAAGGCCCCAGATGCCTCCAACAAATTCAGTGGAGGCCTCCATTGGCCCCCAAGTGGCCCCGAAAAGGCTTCTAAAAAGCCTTCGGGGGGCCTCTAAAAGTCCCGTCGGCAAAACCATTCAGGAGGACAGGGGAGAGTTCGCAGGGAAAGCCGAGAACAAGGAAGAGGAAGATGACCTGTGAGGAAAGGAGCCACCAGAACTTGAGGGGGAACGATGGGAACCAAAGTAGGACGAAGAGATGTTCTCCTTTCCTATAGCATTCCGTCTGTCTGCGGAACTGGACGGAGGGCTGAGGTGCATGGTGCGAAGCGCGAATGCAGTCTTGTGCTTGTAGACGCGTAGCACGATCATTGTCCGTCCTTCTCTCCCTGGCTTCCATGTTCGTTGTGTGTTCTCTCTCTCTCTCTATCTCTGCCCCCTTCCTCGCTCTATGCTTGCCTGACTTGTTCTCGTCATATATTTGCCTCCTTCCTGATCTGTCTCTCTCTCTCTCTCTGTGCTTCTCTTTACGTATTCATCTCTCTCTCTATCCCGCTCTCTAAGTCTGTGCAACGCTTTCCCTATCATTATCTCTCTTTCTTTCTTTTACTCTCTCTCTCTCTCTCGCCATGTTGAATTCGCTTTGTGTGTTCCGTCATTTCCACCCTGCCCGCAGCCGGGCCATTTGGGCGGGAGCTCTTCGCAAGAGGGGGACCAGGAGGGAAGTGTACGGATGAGGGGAAGACTACGAACGGGAGAACGATGATGTGGAGGATGATGTGGAAGAGGAGCCGTGTCCCCGTTCTGCCATGCAGCCCGAGAGGAGTTCGGCACTGCTCCCAGCTGGTGCTGCCATCCCTACGGTCGGACCGAGGTATAAGATCGAGGTCGGTTCGGGCAGGGTACCCTGATGCTCTTCGTGTTTGTCGAATGGTCTTGTGCATCCTGGAGAAGGGCACCCTCGACTGTTCGTCAGTTTGGCCAGCGGAGGGTCTCATGCTCTTGCAGGATGTTATTATGTCCTAGGTCTTGCCGTACTCCGCTTCCCCACCGACTGCCAGCAAGCTCCCGGGCAAGTGACCACTCGCCCTCTGGCGGGAAGTTCCTGGCAGCAACACGTAGGAAAGCGTGCCAGCCTGAGCGATACCCGTCGCGCGCCTCCCCGGCGGCGCCGCCGGTTTGCGCGCCCGTCTTGGCCGTCTTCGCATACCGCTCGCTCGCCAGGTGGCCCACGGAGAGCCCCAGCTACGAAGCCCGCGGGCTCGCCCGGGCGTTGCGCCATGGGGGGCGGGCGATAACTGGGGGGGGGATGGGGTGGGGATGAAAGGTGCAGTTCTTTGTTTGTGCCCTACACTCCGTGTTCCTGTTCAAGGCGTTGCTTTGCATGCACTTCGCTTTCGGCACCGCCTGATCCCAGGGTTTTGCCCTCTCTTGGCCTTGGCGTGAGGCCCCTCCTTCTTTTTTCCTTCCTCTGTTAATTCATGCTGTGCGCGGCCCGCTTAGCTTCGACCGGATGAGGCTCGCTCTCGACCCGCGGATCAAAAAGTTTGTGCCCTACACGGGCCCTAGAGGAGCCCCCTGGACACCAAAAAGGGCACGAAGAGCGCACGTTTTGGAAACAGCAAGTCGGAACAAATATGAAACATCAGAAATCATCAGAAGGATTGTCACATTTGTCCGATGGATTTTCCGATGTTCCCGATGCTTCCCCCATGTGTCGCCCCTCCTCAAGCAACGCCCGAGCGCGCCCACCGTCGCACCGATCCCATCTGGGCATACGGTAGGCGCGACAGCACATTCGGCTGTAAGGAATCTGGGGGCACGTGTGTCGTCGAACTTAGGTTGCCCGAGGTGCCCCAAGGCGTCTGTGGTGCACCTGCTGGCAGGCCAGTGTCTTGTGTGCGGCTGCTGTATCTCTCGCACGGCTGGTGCCCCATGAACGAGGCGGCCCTTGCCCCCTTTGTCCAGCGAAGCGCAGCTGTCGGAGCTCATCTCGCCCCCCCCCCCCCCCCGTGCAAGGTTCTGCTGCCCCACGGGGAACCCCCGGGCCCCGGCGCCAGCGGGTGCGCTCCGCGGGTCCCTCTGGGGCCAGAGGCCCGTCGCGTGCTCCGTTTGAGGCCATCCGCTCCGTACGCCATGCAGTGCCAACGATTCGTTTTTCGCTCCGCCAGGCGGATCTGATGCAGCCCTCGGCTGCCGATCCCGCCACTGTGGCCGGTCGTGCATGAAGGGTGCACTCAGCAGGCATCTTCAGGGAAAGCAGGGCATCTTTGAAATGGACTCCAGGCACCGCTCAAGAGAGTCAAGAGACTGGACTGGGCCCTGGGCGTTTCCTCGGAGCTTCCTCTTTCTGTGGAGTTTTCTGTCTGGACTTGGACTACTGTCGAAGACAATCCTTCCTTCGAGAGACGTCAATTTTCTTCGCTTGAAGCATTCTTACCTTTAAGCAAGGGTGTGCTTTGGCTGCCTCTTGGGGGCCTCTTGGAGGCCTCTTTGGAGTCTCCCGGGTGGGGGCCGCCAGCTGGGAGTCTCTGGGGATCCTCTTGCGGGTCTTTTGGGAGCCCGCATGCTGTCAGGGGGGGAATCTTGGGGTGGAGGGTTGAGGCCTCAAACCACCGCCCTGGGCGACAGCCAGTCGACCAAAAAACAAACGACACCACCCCACCCACGGCCCTCCATGTTGCGCTACGGCCCATCGGGCGCCGCAATGTATACCACGCAAAAACCACGCCAGATGTCCTGGTACACGGTAGGCCCCGTGAGGCCGTAGATGTGTGGCGTTGTCATTTGCTTTCTGGTCCAGCCAGGGCTCGGCGACGAGCGATGGGGGGAAGTGAGAGGGAGAAGGCCTTCTCGGAAGGCGGCGAGACTTCTCAGAAGCCTTAGATCCTTCTGCGCTTTCGGGGCAGTCTTAGAATAACTTCTCAGAAGGCCAGGGGACTTCGAGCCTTCTGTGAAGGCCTCCTCCTTCTCCCTCCCCCCCCGGTCTCGCTGCCAAAAGTCGGAGCGCAATCCGTGGAGGCTGGCGGCGCAAAGCCTGAATTCTCGGCTGTGTGTCTCCACGTGTCGGATCGCAGCATTCCTTGCCACGCGCGCCAGTGCGGGAATCACAGGAAAGCGTTGTGTGTCCTAGGGTTACGTGGCGGCGTACCCGCTACACACTGCAAATCCAAGCAACATCGACAATACCCCAAACATGCTTCCAGAACGCACTCTGCACATCTAAATTGGAACACTCCAGGAATAGTCTGGAGAGTATCCAACAATCCTTTTGTTGTAAGGCCTGGTAATCCGATCGATACAGTAGAGGGAAACAAATGGTGGATTCTCCCCCGCCCGCCCAAGCTAAAAGTTGGAACGAGCGGGGAAGGCTGCGGTCGAAGTGCAGCTCATTCAACTCACCGCCAACATTGATCCTTGGGGAAGAGCATTGACAGATGAATGCGGCATGAGTGTTCGCTAATTTCGTCCGAGGCCTGTGTCCCTAAGGTGCACCTTCTGTCCCCAGCGGGAGAGGAGGGCCACGTATGAGGCAGATATTCCTCGCCCTCGTGTACGGAATGCCTTCCCCCCCAAGGTCGAGCAGTGGCGAAGCGTCTTGGCTTGCCTACAGGTCCACCAAAGACTGTTCTAAGAACCTGTTGTGGTCTGCGCGAAATGTTCTTAGAACATTTCTGGCTGAGACTGCTTTGGTTTAACACAGTGTTCTTGTTCTGAGAATTTTGTGCTTGCTCTCAGAGCGTTTCTGGGCTCTGAGAACGTATCGTGATAGGCATCTAGGAATGCTGGGTCGGTCGGTCTCTGCTCAGAAAGAGGGATGCGCATTTCTCTCAAGGGAGGACGCCTCGCCAAAATCGTGGGCGGCGGCCGATTCACCTCCGTACTTCTCTCCCTCTTGTCCTCATTCTCCATTGCCTGGCCACACTCCATCCTCATGCCCCACTGCGCTCTTCCAGGGTGAGTTTTACACTGGTGCGCTTCGCGCTCCCAGCGTCCCGCGGGTTTAGTGTGTTGCCCCGCTTCGGAGAAGGAGAAGCTACCTGGCCGCTGACCTCTTCTCTGCCTCCCGTCCAGAACTGGGAAGGGACCAGCGCAGAGGTCATCGCCGGCAAATCTTGGTCAGCTGAAGCGCGTGGTCACCAACGTCGTGGCGGACCCCGAGGACAAGTACGTGTACTGTGGTACGTCCACTGGCGCCAGGGGGGAAAGGATTTTGGCGGGTGCCCACCTTTCGCCTCTCTCCTTTGTCCTTCGCTGCCTCCTCCATCTCCTTCTCTTCTCCCTACCTTCTCTTTCCTCCCTCCTCTCCCGCCCCTCCCTTCTCCTCCCCCCCCTCCCCCCACATCCTCTTCCTTCCCGCTGCAAGCCGCCGCCCCCCGCCATCCTGCCGCCTCCCTCCTCTCTTCTCCTCCCCCCAGTCGAGCATGGACCTCGCGCAAAAGTGTTTTGTTCCTGAAGAGAAGCAGCCGAGCCGTTCTTCGGACACATGCAGTCCCGGCCAAGAATGCGATGGGCACCAATCGCGGTGCGCCGCGAGATCCCCATACCACTGCATACCGACATAAACGCAGCTTCGTTTGTTGTTTGATGTCCGTCCCGTGTTCATCTCTCAGAAGCTGGGCGAAGGCTGGCAAACCCGTGGCTGCTAAAACGGAGCTCCCGGAAATTGTTGCTTTTCCTCTGGGAAGCAGCCCGTTTACGATTTAGTGCGCTGCGCTTGATTCCCCACCCGCCAGGCTGGGGTTGTTAGATTTCAAGAACAGACCCCCCGGCCAACCCCACCCTGCATACCGCGGCCGCCAGACGCCAAGTTGTCCCGAGAATCCCCCAGTATCCCCGAGAGTCCCTGGGAATCCCGCCCCCTCGCCCTTGACAAACACGACTGCGTACCGCGGCCGCCAGACCCCAAGTTTTCCCGAGAGTCCCCGAGTGTCCCTGGGAGTCCCGCCTCGCGCCCTCGACAAACACGAAACAGCACAACAGTACACAACATAACATCCCATAACATAACATAACATAACAATAGCATGACAACATTTAGCATACTATAACATCATAAAGCATACCCGGGAATAACCTTACTTAGCATAAAATGACATAACACCCACTAACATAACATAACGGATCATAACATAAAGCACTTTGACGGGACATACCATATCATGACACAGCGTTCAGAACAGTTCATAACACGACAGCAGAGCATAGCGACGAACACGACATAACACAACGTGTCACAACATACGCTACCAACACATAACAATTACAAACCATATCATGACATAACTTCACAGGACGTACCAGAGCATCACGCCAGAACAGGCCATCATAGTAGACAGAACACGACATAACAGAGCAGAGCATGACAGAACATGACAAGCCAATGCATAGCATGAAAGAACACAGCACACCAGAACATCACATAACCAACCAGAGCTGCACCACAGAACATCACGGAACAAACCCAACCAGAGCACACGAGAGCATCACAGAACAAACCAACACCAGGCCAGACCAGACCCCCAGTTGTCCCGAGAATCCCTGAGTCGCGCCCTCGACAACCTCGAAATAACACACCATTACCCAACATAGCATGACAGAGCATAGCATAGCAACATCATGACAACATACATCATACGATGACATCACAATATAGTTCCGGGCAAAACATTACATAACAGACAACGACAGAACACACCATAACATAACCATAACTCACTTTGACGGGTCAGATCATGTCATGACACAGCGTTCAGAACATATCAGAACACGGTAGCAGAGCATAGCGCGAACACGACATACCACAACGTGCCACAATAGAAGGCAATACAAACAGAGTACAGCCATGACATAACATGACGAAACATACATGGCAGTACCATTACAAAACAGATCGTGACATACCAGCACAGAACATACCAGAGCATTCCACGCCAGAACAGACCAACATAGTAGACAGAACACGACAGAACAACACAGAGCATGACAGAACATGACAAAACAATGCATAGCATGAGAGAACAGAGCACACCAGAACATCACATAACATACCCAAACATAACGTCACATAACAGAGAACCGCAGAACATCACGGAACAAACCCAACCAGAGCACAAGATAACATCACAGAACAAACCAAAACCAAGCCAGACCCCCAGTTGTCCCGAGAATCCCGCAGTCCCTGCCGCCGCCCCGCCGCGGGCGGCCTCCTCGCCTGCGTCCCTCAGTCTAGGGATGGGAGGGGGGAGGAAGGAGGAGGGGAAGGAGGCATGGGGCAGGACGAGGAGGACAGGGCCCCAAGGTTTCGGTGGGGAACGCTCGAAGCAAATCATTCCGGGAACCTGTTTTGTTTCTTCCGGGAAAACCGTTTTGGCAGCCACGGATCTGCCAGCCCTCGCCCAGCTTCCACATCTCCCTGGCTGTCTGCGCGTCGCGCACACGCTGCCGCTGTGGTGACTCCTTGCACCTGCTCTCGTCGGTCCTCTGTGGCCGGTCCCCGCCGCCCAGCGCAGACCCTGGCCGCCGCTCCGCTGGACTTTCGGGGGTGGACAGACCTCCCACCCTGACACGTCGATTAGCGAATTGGCCGTTTTCGGTTCGCGAGAGGGCGTCGCGGCCGTCATTTTTGCGGGTCCAGGTCCGTCGGTTTCGGTCCCAGGCCGTTTTCATTAAGGGGAGGTTTGCTAAAGGGAGGTTTGTCCACCGCCGAGACTTACGTGGCACAAGCTATCTGTTGCCCTTGGCTGCGTGATGTCCCGTTCTTCACCACCTACCAAACCACCCCAACCCAACCCGAAGACCCCGATTTGCCTTCCATTTCCGGTGGGGGGGGGGTCGGGGAGCATTGGAAAGACGAATTGGACCCGCACCACCCCCCAACCCTAAATTTGGGTCAAATCCGGGTCTTCGGATTGTGCTGGGGTGGTCTGGTAGGTAGTCAGTTCCATGCATTGCGTCTTGGCGACGCGAGTGGCCGTACCTTTCTTGGAACTCTGTACGGTAGGCTCGTGTCGTCGACCGGCGGCGACCCCGCCAGCGGCGTTCCACGTGGAACGCCGCGGGCGACCCAGAATCGTTCGACATGGAACGATTTGGACGTTTCGGAAACGGCCGATCGTTCAAGGTTGAACGATCCCCGCGGTGTCAGAAACCAACGCCGAAGTCGGCACGATACGAACCTGACGTGTTGACCTCCGCACGACTCATCCTCCCCGCCTTGGACCTGCGGTCCCGATCTGCCCCCGCACTGTCAGTGTCGAGTGCGTGAGCCTGCCTCATCGGGGGACGAAGTCTATACATATCCACTGCTCCCTGGCCAGGCCCATCCTGAACACAGCAGCTGTGTATACGCCCTCCTGGCCAAACCAGGAGGGCGTGGCGTATACACAGCTGCTGTGTTCAGGATGGGCCTGGCCAGGGAGCAGTGGATATGTGTAGATTGCGTCGCCCTACCTCAAGTCGGCGGCGAGCCGGGGGGGCAGTGAGGAGGGGCGGGCCTTCTCGGAAGGCTCGGAGGCCCTCCGGCCTTCTGAGAAGCTTCGGAGGCCTGCCCCGAAGACGCAGGCACCTGATCACCAGGCGCGAGGGCGTCCGAGAAGTCCCGCTGCCTTCTGCTCCTCCTCCCACCACGCTGTCCTTCACGTGGGCGCCGACAAAGCTCCTCGACACGTTCGCCGCGATATGCACACCAAGCGGCTGCTCCAGCTCCTCCAGCAGCACTTCGGCAGGGACCGGGACTGGACCGCGCTCCGGGCCAAGGGCATTATCAGCTGCAACGCCGTCCCCGTCATCGAGGTGGTCCCGCAGGGTTTCCACGAGCCGTCCAAGATTTTCTGGGACCCCCGAGCCTCTCGCCACCTGCCTGACCCCGAGCGCCAGCGTGCCCTCGACATGTTCCGCGACGCCACCAAGATGGCCGGCGAGGTGGATACCTCCACCTGGTCTTGCTCCTAGCCCGCGGTGGCTGCCCTGGGAACTCGTCCCGGCCCAGGGTAAGCAGACTTTCGAAGGGCTGCGCATCGCTTCCTGGAACGCTCGAGGGCTCCTCTGCCAGCGCGCGTACAAGAGGCATGGCAAGATCTCCAGGCTCGCGAAGCTCATGAAGATGCGCATGCTGATCGTGATCCAGGAGACGCACGGCACCGAGGCGAAGCTCCGCGCCATCCTGGACCAGCTACCGTACCACTATCACGTCCTTTTCTCCCCGGGCGACTCGCCTGGCACAGGTGGATTGGCCTTCTTGGTTCCGTGGTATCCCGCCGCCCGCGTTGCAGCGATTGCGGAGCACTTGCGGCCCGTCTTCCACTTCGAGAACATCGTCTCGGGGCGCGTCGCCGTCCTCACCATCTCCAACACCTCGGCGAACGAGCACGTCAGCGTCATGAACGTGCATAATCATGCTCTCCCGCCGCAGGCGCTGCCTGTCATCAGGGCACGCTGGACGGGCAGGGCGGCCTGGGCCCGCCAGGACCCGCGCCGCCGCATTTTCATCGCCATCGACGACTTCAACATCGCAGACCGGGAGCCTGTCGCACTTGCTCGTCCCACCCCGTCGGCCGCGACGCCTTCACCCTCCTCGGCTACCTCATCGGGCTCGTCGCCTTCAGCGTTGGCTCCACCACTTCATCTGACGACGGCTCAGCAGGGTCTCGTGGTAAAACCCCCCCACAAGGTTCCTTAAGGGGGGGGGTCGAAACCTGCATTTTCTTGCTCGCCAGCGAGCCGTTCGATCGAACAGCCACTCCGTCTGGCACCGGGGCAACCAGGCACAAGGCTTTTGGCGCAGCCTCTTTCAGCACGATCTCCTCGAGATCTCGTGCGAACTGCCCACCCACTACTCGAAGCATCACCAGACCTGCAGCTTCATCGACCGCGCCTTCGTCTCCCTGCAGAGCCACTACGTCCTGGACACCACTCTCACCTTCGAGATCTGGCAAGAGGCGGCCTCCCTGGCGGACTGGGGGCTGAGTGACCATGCCATCATCCAGCTGAAGCTCCAGCCACGTGCACCAGCGGCGCCTCAGGATCGCGCCATCCCTGCGGACGTGTTCGCGTCCCCGCGCTGTGGCAAGCATGTCAAGGCGCTGCTCGACCACTCCGACTTCTCGGGCCTGGCCGTGGAGAACCGTTGGAGGGAGGCCAAAGCCCAGATGGTGGAGGCCGCGCGTCTCACACGGAACGAGATGCAGGCCCTCCCGATTGGCGATTTCGACGGGGAGGCCACTGAAGGGCGACGGATCTCCGCCCGCGCTGTGGCCCGAGCCATCTGGCGACAAGACTTCCGACTGGCTCAGCGCCTCATCGGCGGCACCGCGTTCGGCGCTCGCCACTTGCACATCAGTCGGCTGGCGGAGGACGGCACCGAGCCCACGCCGCAGGTCCTCCTGAGCGACCCCGCGGCCTTTGAGGAGGACTGTCGCCTACTGCATCTCGCCTGGCACGAACGCCAACAGGCTG